GTGTACATCCTGTTTACAGTCAATAAGGGCAATTAGAAAGTGACATCACCAGTCTGAGAGTCATTCTGAGAAGCAGCGGCTGCTCATATTCACTGAAAAACCTGCAGCTGCATTCCCCTCCTCCTCCGCCTGCAGGTGTTTTTGCAGCAGGTCTGTCTGTGGGGAGTTTGCACGTGCTTCCTGCGTTCATGTGAGATTTGGGGGGGGGGAGGGGGCTCTGGTTTCCTTCCTCCTCCCATAGGCAGCCAGGCTCGATCTGATCAGCTATCCTAACCCCCCCCCGAACAGAGGAAAAGAGCCCTCACCGCGCGCTGGATCAGGGAGAAGTCCTTGCTGTGCGCGGCGAACGCCTTGTTGAAGAGCCGCCGCTCGCTGAGCCCCCAGACGTCGCTGCCTGGAGAGAGAGGGGGGGGGGGAGACACCAGCCGCGATCAGTACCGCGCGCTTGAACTCCGGGGCGCGGGGCTCCTCACCGTGACGCCTGCCTTTCGCTCTCTGTCTGCTTCTCTGTTGCAAATCCAAACCGTTTCTCACTTTGAGTGGGCTGTTCTCTTTGCAAGGCGCTATATAAAGGCAGATTTGGGGGGGGGTTATTGACGGGGTGTTGAGCAGAACTGAGGTCCCCAACGCCTGCCCGTAATGGATGCCCTTGGACGTTTTCCGGTATGCTTACCGCGGTAATGGGGACTTACCGCAGTAATGGTAACTGCTGGGAGCCTGGGGTGTGGACAGCAGCAGCATCTCGAGAGTGGCCTGGAGCACACACAACACAGAGGCAAGAGAGTATTATAATCAGGGCTTCAACCTGAAGACACAGCGACCCCACGGAGGAGGCGAGGGAGGATAAGGGCAATCCCATGATTCCACTTTCTTTCCCACAATTCAGCTCCACAGGAGTGCGCTGAGGGCACAGGTGTGGCGTAGCGTGATGCCCAGGACTGCGGGGTCAGGGTAGGGTCAGGGCTGGCTGTCCCGCACTGGGCCGCTGCAGAAGAGGCAAAACTGGCTTTCCGCTTCCCCAGAAGACAGCGAGAGACAGCGAGCTGCTCGTCTCACCAGAATGTCCCCCCGGCAGCGGGACAGGCAGTGCAGGGCCAGCTCGGGGTTGGTCCCCCCTCCCGGGACGGCGCTGGAGCAGGACAGGCTGAGCACGGCGTCCACTGGAGGGGGAGACAGAGAGAGAGAGAGAGCAGGGCGTCAGCCCCCCTGCAGGGCAGGGCAGGGCGGGGCAGCGGCCCCCCCGGCGCCGGCTCACTGCTGCTGTTCCCACCGTGTTCCTGCAGGGCGGCGCTCTCCTGCAGCTCGGGCCAGGGCTGCCACAGCAGCTCCGCCCTGGGGAGCTCCTCCTCCGCGCCCCCCAGCTCCTGCACGTCCGGCAGCTCTGCCTGGAACCCGGGACCCACGTTGACGTGGCTGGCGGGGAGGAGGAGAGAGGGGTGTGAAGGCGGCGCGGTCACGCCTGGGCGGCACGCGGACAGGCGGGCAGACACTCACGGATACTGCGTGTAGCACCCTGGCTCCTCCGACCCCAGGCTCTCCTGGTGACCTGAAACCCACGGAACGCCGAGGTCAGATCGCAGCGCTGACCCGCCCCCCCGAGGGCGGGGGACTCGGGCAGGTGGGGGGGGGGGGCGGCCGGCCGACTCACCGTAAGGGCTGGGGGGCAGGAGGCCGCAGTAGAGCCCCGAGCCCCTTCGGACAGGGTTGAGCATGGGCTGGGGGGTGTAGCGGGGCGCCCCCAGCTCCGGGGCGGGCGGCCGGGCTATGTGGAGCAGGCTGGGGAAGGGGGTGCCGGTGTAGACGGGGAGTTCCTGGAGAGGAAGAGGAGGAGGAGGAGGAGGGTGAGAGAGACAGCGGGCACACCCACGGGCTGGAAGGTGTTTCACGCCCGCAGTGGGCAGGTGAGGTCGTTCCACCCGTCCAGCCGGTCTCATGGCCGTTAACTGACCCCAGCGCCTCAGCCCAGCTGCTTCCTGAAAGAAGCCAGGGCCGGGCAGCGCGGCCGGGCAGCTTGTTCCACTCTCCCACCACCCTCAGTGTAAAGACGCGTCTCCTGTCCCCGTTGAACAGTCTTCGCCCTGCTGCGTCCTGTGAGAAGCCAGGGTACCGGCTTCAACAACGGGGCCGGGCAGCTTGATCCACACCCCCACCACCCTCGGTGTAAAGAAGCACATCCTGTTCTCGGTTTGAAGTGCTCCTCTGCTTAACTCCCACTCGTGTCCT